ATCATAATGATTTATCAGGTTGCAAATTTAATATAAACAAAAGATGATACTTTTTCACATGACATATGGCTACATTAAGGAGCTATTTGCCATGTGGTAATGGAAGATGGAAGTTTGCCTGAGTTCTGATATCCTGATACCTGGAAATAATGTTATCACTAGATACTAAATATGTTGTTATGTATCTTGCTAAGGCTGCTTGACTTTTTGTTTTTCCCAGGCTGGCTGCTGTTGGAGGAAGGTCACAGAAGCAGGCAGGCTTTTAGCTGCCCTGCTTCTGTCATTAATTGTAATGATTTCAGGAGGGACATGAAAAGGACCTCCCAAGGCCTGACATCTCAATGATTTCCCCATCAGTGTATCAAAGGGTCAAAGAAGCAGTTAATTTGGAGGTTAACACCTTCAGGACTGCACTGGCTGCCATTTGGATAGGTTTGTTCCAGCAAAGTCCTGCTGAAGTCTCTGAGAAATACTTGCATGCGAGTTGCTGCAAAATCTGAGTTTATATCTGTGTTGCCAAGGATGAAAAGAGGAGTGTGTCTCAGAAAGGAGGGGAAGGAAGAGGAGACTTATCAGTAGCAAGAAAAGACCTGCTTTACCTACCGAAAACAAATCGGACAAGGAAATATCTGGCAGCGTTCACAATAATTCAGACATTGTCCCAGACCTTAATTGCTGGCACAGGCAACCGTGGGCCTGGTAGGAGGGAGGTGGATCATGTCTGCATGCTCCATCTGCTGCCTGCAGAGACAGGAACATTCCAGGCCAGGTGTTGCTGAGCATTGCTCTTGTCTAGCAGCAAGATAAGTTTAATTAAAGGGCTAATTATTCCCATTCTGGAACGGACCTATTCGTTGTACTTGCAATTGCTTTCTAACTCTTTTCCTCTGGTGTTCATGCGTTACACATTTATCTTCCACTGTCACATTACTGACTTGTTTTGCTTAAGTCTTTGGTGTGTGTGAAAATTGGAAACAAAGGGAATTGGCTAGACTTGAGTTTAGGTGATACTTCATTGTAATGGCATTTGTCAGCACAAAAAAGCACTTCATGCTGGCTTTCTAACTTTCTTGTGAAATAGGTATTTTACAGTTGTGGTAACTAAGGGTTGCTATCAGTGGGGAGTTGGACCCAGATGTCTGTGTTCCGCTACAACTGTTAAGAGCATCAGGCAAAACTTTTCTTTCAGTTAAACGAGGAGTAACCCACTGATTTCCAAAGAGTTGCTGGATTTACTTCAGAATGGCAGTCCATGGAACATGTCCATGGAATATGTCTGATGTGAAGTGTTATTCTTTTACATTCAGTTTAAGATCTTTAATGTAACTTATGCTTGCTTTCTTTGGCTCTGTGGGTCATGCAAAGCTCTTGAATCTTTGCCCTAGTAGTAGCAGATAGTTTTCTCTGTCAAAACGTAACAGACTTGCTCATTAAGATGCTGTGATCTTGTAGGTTACCTTTCTTCTGACATTTTTGGACCGTACTCAAAAACACCCAGTCTGAGTGAAACATACGTTTAGAGCCTGATCTTCTTCCTCATTCTTCTGAAACCTGCTGTCCTCCTGTAGGGTCCACAGAAAGGGTGGTCACAGATCAGCCTGTTGACAGTACAGAGCTATCTGTTGGAAACAGGAGTAATTCAAGTCAAACCTATTTTGAAAAATGAGCAGCTTGATTGTGTTTTCACTCTTCTGTTTTCCACCACACAGTGAGGACTTCAGTTTCTGCATATGTCCTGGAGGACTGGAAAGAGAGGGAATCTTCCTTAGCCTAATTTTGTACCTGTGACATCTTAGATCAAACATAAATGGCCATTTTTATCTAGACCAGGGATTTTATTTCATGTCTTTTTAGGCCTTTTTTTAGTTAAAGCTTTGAACCAGGACAAACCCATATGTGAGATTTTTCTCCCTCCATGTGGCTGAACTTCAAAAGACACATTACTCATCCCATTTTAGTATTCAGGACTTGCATTAATTAACCACGAACGGCACCTTTCCTTCCTTTCCTCTCCCTGGAAGCACTTTTTATCTTAATCATGGAGCCAGGAGAACTATCACTAGGACGGATAAGGATATACACACAGCGTCTGTAACCTTAATACAATCTCTGAATATTCCATGACTCTGTAATGTCTGTCATGCTGGGATTGAGCCCTGGTGCTGATGAACTGCCCGGGGCACTGTGTTGCAAATGCATTCTTTCACAAGCTAAAGCAAAGCAGAGAAAACCATATAATGAATTCCAGTCATGTAACATTACGGACTAAGTAGAAGTGCCACTCCTTTACTAGGATAGTTGTGAGAAGACATTTTTGAAACCACATAGCTCAAATGATAGCAGCCACCAGCCAAAACCCCAAAATATTTCTGCGTATGAAACAGGCACATGTGGAATATATGGAAAAGCTACGGACTGGTTTATAAACCATATTTGTAGAAAGACCATGAAATTGGAAAGTGATAGCATTGCAAAATATATTGTGAAAATAATTTTGTCAGAAAAACTAGAGGGAGGATTTGGATGTGAGTGCTGATCAGAAGAGCCATGGTGTGAGCAGCTCTGCACGGCAATCTTTTCTCACAGTTAATGCCATGGAAGAGAGCAAGGGACTTCCAATGTCCTTTGTGAACAGCCCGGATCTGCTCATTGACTCCACTGTCAGTTCTTTTCCCCTTACGCTAGAGAAAAACTTGCAAGTACTCACTTTTTTTGGCTAACTATCGAGGACAAAAGGGGATAAAAATAATCTGCAATCTCTTGAAACCTATGCAAGCTATCTAGGATATACAGTGCTGTGATATGGCATAACTCAGCTCTGAGATTTCCTACCTAAGTTTTCAATGGAAGTATATGTCTAACGTGCATCCCATAAGCATGACTGAAAGCCAGGGAAGGATAACACCCAAAACCACAATTAAAAATTTTTGCTCCACAGGGACGCTTGAAAATGTAAAACGGTGGCAGTGGGACTCAGATTGACAATATTTATGTAAGCAGACCTTGATTTGTTTTAACTTGCATTTTGAAAATACGGTGTTTCAGCAGGGGTTTATTGTTTATACATTTGTTGTGAAACCAAAGAAAAGGTGCATTGTCAAAACCATCATGGGAGGGAAAAGGGCAGCCAAAAGAGGAGGAACGAATGTTTAGGGACTTCTCAGAGAAGTATTTGAATTTATGGGATCAGAAAGAATCCACCCAAAGGTGAATTTCAAACCTGTGGGTTTGAAAGGACAAGGTGAGAATCAGAAAAAATCAGCATGGGTTTAAGAAGGGTAGATCATGCTTGAGCAGCACAGCTGCCTTTGATTAAGAAATAACAGTATGAGTATAGCACAGGACAAAGTGGCTCATCTTATTTGTGGAATCAAAACCATGGCCTGGCCTGGCCTAATGCTGGCAACAGTTCAGAGCAGCAGGTGGGATCAGAGAGCCCTTCCAACCATCATTTCCTACATTTTGTGGGTTGCTGAGCTGAAGCAGATGAGGAGCTGTGAAAACATTTGTATGACTTGGTACAGTACTCAGCTATTCAGTGCCATGAAGAGCTATTAGGTTTTGGGAAAGTTCTAGTATATACATTTCTGTAAGAGGAGAGGTTTTTTCCAAACATTCATAGGAAAAATCAACCTTCTTTAATTGAATGTGGTCAGAGAAAGAGTTTATAATCAGGAAAGAAACCTGGCCTGTCATGGGTCAGCAAAGCCCAAAAACTAGGAACCCAAATTATTTATATTACCAGAGTCTTAAAATAATTTAAACTTCAAACAGTTTTCAAAACTTCCAAAAGCATTCATCCACAACAATGTAGAACTCAAAGATCTCCAGCTCTCATTTCCACAGCCTGTGCCACTCAGGCTGTGCTGGGTGCACTGAGAGGCTGGGGTGCAAACAGGCTGAGTAAATGCTGTCCTTACCCACGTGTCGGATTCTGCATGTAGAAATCCTTTGTATTCATTATTCATGAATGCAATATGGCATGAGGATCCATGATCTTTATGGACAATGAATTCAGAACTCCCTGGGAGAGAATACTTGCTATAGAAACCCGAGTCCAAGAGCTGAACGTGCCCAGCTGGGGAAAGCACACACACAAACAGTCTCTCATTTTTGGCTGCAGCTCCTACTGGCTTATTTACCTAATCTTTACCTAATCTAAATATTTGACCTTTATGCTTTTTGGAAATTGTATTTTTTTTTTCCTTCTTAATTATGTGGAAGGAGCACTTCCTTTCAGCACTCTGATGGGCTTCTCTATAAATAGCTCCTTGCATCCCAGAACTTCACACTGAAACCTTCAGCAAAGTCAGCATCCTGAGGACGTTTTAAGCCTGAGATGGGAACCACGTGGAGTTTAATCATTAATCACCAGTCTTTAATTAACAGCTCTGGGCTTTGAACAAAAGGTGCTTACAGTAAGGCTGCTGAGGGGCCCTGAGCTCTTCAGTGTGCTTTCATTTGAGGGACCCAGTGGCATTCCTAAAGGGGCTGGTAAAGTAACCTTCTCCTTGTGGGAAGGGTCACGCTTCTCAACGAGAGCAGATGTTTTGTGGCCCAATCTCCATTTTCATAACTGCCCTGCTGGTTGGCTGCAGGTCTGAGATGGCTCAGTGCAGGGATGCTACCAGTTCCCTAAGCCCTGCTTTGCTCTGGAAAGGAGTTGAGCATCTCCAGAGCCTTGTTGCCTCCATCAGGTGAGGTGGGTTTTAACCAAAGGAAGGAGGAAAGTTGCTCTAGGCTTGGAAAATTTTATAGGGGAGTGTTCAAAATTGAACACTTGGGAGTGAAAGAAAATATTGCTATAAAAGTTGATTCAGCCAATATTTTCTACGTTCTTGCTGCTGTGATTGAAGATATTTGTTTTTAATATAGGTTTCTCCCATTTGTAGTCTGGCTTTCCTGTAGTAAAAACTAAAGGGCAGATCCTCAGCTGATATAAATTGGCTCCACTGAAGCTAATGGAGCCATGCTGGTTTGTACCAGCTGAGGGATCTGGCTCATGCTGCAGTGCTCCATACCCCCATTATACTGCCATGATTATGATACTAATTCAGTAAAATGGCTTCACAGTGTAATAAAATCAACCCAGAGCATGGAAGATGAAAGGACTCCCTCTCCATTCCCTCTCCATTTGACCTGGTATTTTTCAACAGAATGTTTTCCTTTATTTTCTCTTTCGTTAGGAAATGCTCTAAACTTTTTTTTTTTTTTTTTTAACAGCAAATGTTCTCACTCTGATAAAACTTTCTTTGGGGAAAACCTTCTTGGCTTCAGCATGAAGGCTGTGTGTGTGCAGAAAGCATATAGCACGTGCAGTGGTGTGATGGGTCAGGGCATGTTGAGGCTTGTGCAAGGAAATGAATCGGTTCTTCAAAGGGCAGGGGTGATCCTGAGAGCAGTTAAAGCCCTGAGCTAACCTTGACTTCTGAAAAATGGGAGTTATCATACTCCGGGGTAGAGCATTGATCATTTTACTCATTCTCTGTGCTGTCTAGTTTTTCTTGATCTGCCTGCAGTGGGAGACGCAGCCCAAGGAGCTCTATAAAGCTGTGTCCATTCCTGTCACAGGGGAAAAAGACGTGTTGGTGGCTTTCCTGCTTGTGATCAGCTCTTCAGCAATTGCAGGAAGTTGAGCAGTGGGGAGCAGGACGAGCTGTGCTGTCTGCTTGCGTGGAGCTGTTTGAACACTGAAGGGAATAAAGAGACGCGGAGACCTAAATAAGGGCAGACAGATGCATAGCTGGATCCGTGGGATGAAGCGTTTTGTTTGCCGCAGCACAGCTGAACTGCACACAGGTTTTTTTCTGAGCCAGGAGGGAGTTTCGAGGGACATTGCTAAATGCAGACAGTAAATTTAACTTTAAAGGGCTGTGAATGAAAGCTTTTGGCTAAAAGCTGAAGTGCTGTTACTTTTTACTGGGCCTTTTTAACTCCACTTGGAACAGGACAGTGCATCTGACTTGTAAGGCCCCTGGAAGTGGAAGGCCCGGCCTGTGGGGCCTGCTCCTGGCAGAGCCATAAGGGTGAGGTGAGCCAGCCAGCCCTTCTGGGCTAAAGGAAATGCAGCCAGATCTCACCTGTGGCTCAGGGAGAAATCAGGGAAACTGCTGGGAGCAGGGCTGTGCCAGGGCAGCACAGTTTTAAGTGTCAGATAGCTAAAGGGCTCAAAGGCATCAAAATGTCTGATGGCCAGAACTGGCAAGTTTGCTTGCATCCTGCTTCCAGACCTGTGCTAATCCCCTGGTATCATCATAGTAACCCTGATTCAAAGAAGGGTTTTCCTGTCAACTCATCATTTAAAAACAGTCTGAGCTATTATTTTAGACCCTTCTTGTAGTATTATCCAATTTAAAACTGTTTAAACCTTCTGCTTCTTTTAGGGGAAAACATGCATTGTGCACTAAAGTCTGTTCAGAAGAAGTATAACTTCTGTTCATATCTACTATTGTCTCATTGCAAGCAATTTTAAAACACGCCCTGTGTTTGGATTGTGCTGAGACTGGGTTATTCACTGTGGGTTTAGCAGACTGCAATCCCCTGCTGAAGGTGGAATTTGGCCACCATTAGCACTTTCATTCTTCTCCTGCCAGTGCTAAGGAAGCATTCAAAATTCTTGTATTTGGCACAGGCTGGCAGTGGATGCTGTCCCAGACTCAGAGGACCTTTCCTCAATTTGCGTGGTTGTGGTCTGAGTGCCTTGGCAGTGGGAAGCTCTGGTTACCCAAAAAGAAGGACCTAAGCTGCCTGGCTGAGGGGACAGGAGCATGCGCCCAGGCCTTACCTATGGGGTAAGTGCACCTTTTTCTTGCATTAATTGGAGCAAAGGGTGAATGATCTGGAAAGTTCCTCAGAACGCAGGTGTCTGTGTCCTTAACCAAGCGTTGGTGGCCAAGCGATGGCTGTGCAGAGCCCAAGGAGCCTCTGTCCCCCAGTTACCCAGTATCCCAGGTACTCTGCTCCTGAGAAGGGGAGGCAGAGCTGGAGCAGTGAGTGTGGGCAGTCGTCACTAGACCTAATCAGGCAAGGAAAAGCTTTGGAGCATATGGACCCCAATGTGTGGTCCAAGTACAACAGCTTGGTGAGTGTCCTGCAGGGAGACTTTTACTAGCGCTGCAACAATAATTCATCACTGCCTGAAGGCTTGATGGGTCTGGTACTCCTTGTCTTAATTGACCTCGGCTGGAGACCTGTGTTTCAGTCCAGCTTAGTCACAAAGGACTTGGGCTGTACTTGGGCCTTGAAGAGGATATTTATCAGAAAAATCACATGATTAATGGAATAGAGTGATGTCCGCTTGAGAGTGGCCAGGAATTGAATTAACAGAGTAGGGATTTTGGCAGGTGTGAAGTGTGGTGAAGCTGAGACCGATGATGTCTGGGAGGCAAAGCACCCAAAGCCCCAGTATTATGCAGCCATAGGCTGGGAGCTCTGGAGGGGCTGGGGGGAGGGGAGGAGGGGGAGGCAGGGAGAAATGCAGAGCCAGAGTCTGGGCTTCTATGTGGGTAACACATGGTGTGCAGGTTGTGAAGTCCTCACACTGCAGTGCCCAAATTGCCATTGTTCCCAGTCCTCTCAAAAAGGGCAAGCATAAATAGGAAGCTGATATCCCCAAGTAAATGGTGATGGAGGGGGAAGAATAAGTGAAGAAATAATCAGGAATCATCCAACACTTACTTTCTTGCCTACATTTTTTCCCCACTCTTCTTTCTTTTTCCCTCCATGTCAACACCAAACAAGACAGGACTAAAATTAATGGGGAAAGCAGCAATTAGCAAATTAGGTTAGCGGTGTGTTGCAGTGTGCCATGGCTGCCAGGTGTGAGGGGCTCTGGCAGTATATTTATTAATGGCTGTCAGAAAAGTGACACTTTGATGAATGAAGCTGGGTAGTCGGCACCCTCCGACAGCGAGCACTGAGAGGCCTCAACATGCTAAACTGCAAAATCAAACCTTTTTTAACCCCCATACAAAAATACAACAACAGAGATCGCTGCAAGAGGAGTGTGTTTTTCCAGCAGGAATTGGAATTCACGTTCTCCCCTAAGTACCTCCTTTCTGTAACTTGCTGGGAGGAGTTGTCAGCTTGGAACGTTTTCCTTTTCCTTGGAATATGGGCCTCAAAAATTAATAAAGGCAAGCAGCTAAAAAGTATGTTTTGTTCTGGGTATATCTGGCAGCCCTGTTAAAGGCAAGTGCTCGCACTTTTTGGCCTTTGCCCTTTAAACGTGATGGTATCAGTAATCCACAAACTGAGCTGGTGAGCTAACTCCCTTTGTTAGATATCGTTTTCTCATGACTGGTGGTCAGCAGCTGCACTGCTCCTCCTTAGTGCCACTGAGGTGTGATGTCCAGGAGCCCACACTGCCCACAGGAAGAGAGAAAATGCAAAGATATGTAAGGTTAAATGTGTCTGATGAAAATTCACCTGCAGCACTGTTGCGTACTGAATTTTCCACTCCTGAAAAACCTCAGCTGTGATCTTCTCCCTTCTGATGAATGTGTGTGTGCAGTGGGACATTAGCTGCCATGCTCACTTGGGTGCATGGCCACAGGGTATATGGCAGGGTGCATTGCTGGTTGCTTTGCGAATGGGAATTTGGAATTCTTAGCCAACAAGATGTGAGTTTAGAAGTTCTCTTCAGGAAAAAAAACCCAACTAACTGTACTAGAGTTCTTGAGGAGATCAGTCCAGCTGCTGGGATAGCATCTGGATAAAAGATTGCTCTGCAAAACGCTGCAGTATGTGGAATATTTCTTCCATGTTTTCAGACTTTGCATTGCACACTGGAGGTAAGCTCTGTGCACTGCTTTGATAGCTCAGCACGGAGTTGCTCAAATCCCCCAATTCCATAGAGAAACTGAATACCTTTCTACAAAATCTTGGTTCTGGGTTTGGCCAGCTAAAAGGGCTGTGTAAGTTTTGATTAAAAACATGAGAATAAATGTAAGTCATATCCCAGGCATTCATCTGGTCTTCTAGTTTGAAATGAAGCTGAGTGATCTGTGTGGAGTTGCTTGCCAGGATCTGTGTGCTTGTTAAGTTTGAATTGGCACTTGAAGCAAATCTGAAATTGTTCTCTTATGCTTTAATAATTGTACTTAGTTTCCTAATTTGGCTGGTGAGTTTATCAGAAGATAATTGAACTTTTAAAAATATAATCTGCCGGGCTGTAGGAAATACTTTAAAATAAACTTCTTCTGAAACTTTGATCTGTTTTCACGCCCTCTCTCACGAAAGCAGCCTGTCTGCAGGGCTCCAACCTGTTAAGGTGTGTGTTCCTAAACCACGCAGCTCTTGAGCGGAACCAGGTCGCTCCCTGTGTGCAGAGGAAGCCAGCAGCTCCCTGCCAAGACAAACTCTGGCTGCATGGATTGCTCCTGGGTGCAGCCACCTGCCTGCGTGCTCTGCCTGGGTGCAAAAATCCCTTTGTAAATTATTCCAGGGAGCAAGAGAAATGGCTCTCAAGTCACTTAAGTTTTTTGATGCAACTTTAATTGTTACTGTAGGTCAGAGTATTGTTTTCTTGTATGCTGAGAAAGTAGAAAGGGGTTGGCTGCTTTGCATGGAGCTGTGAGCTTGGTTCTCCTGGGCAGCTCGGGTTCCTTGCGAGCTGTGGTTTCAGGTGATGTGAGCTTTCCTGCCTTCTGCTGTTGGCTTCCATCAAACAGGCATGTTTTCCCTTTTTGGTGAGATTTAAGCCAATTCCTAAAGTTCTTGTAAGCAATTCCTGAGTTTTTGGGGTAAGTGCAGTTCTCCAGTTTCAATGATAGCATGTAGAATTTTATGGGTCCACTGCAGGCCTGTAAACTCAGGTTTTCCAGGTCCTACATTAGCACATTAACTACTGGGGTGTTTTTCCTGCTCACCTAGCTGGCTTCCTTCCTGTTTTAAAGAGGATTTGCTGCTTTTCATGTTCTCCATTTTATGAATTTGCAAAGACTTCCATCATTGTGGAAGCATACACCAAAAAGTTTTTTTCCACTTACTTCAGTGCTTATGGTTTACATTTGCTTCGCACTGACTTACTCAGGAGTCAGCCCAGGGAAGACCTCTGACTTTTCTCTTGGTCTATGGCATGGCAGGGAGGCTCCCAGCCCCAGCAAGCAATCACTGCACCAAGAGCAGCTCAAGGAGTAAGCAAAGATGAATGACTTGTCCGGGCTGAGCTTGTCTTGGGTTTTAAAGGAGAAATGCTGCTTGAAGTTCTCTCTGTGTGTGTCAGGAGGGTGCCTTTACCCACTGTGATCTGCTACAGAAAAGGTCTCTGGGCATTCTGCAGTGCTGCCCCTCGCAGTGCTGGCCGTCCCCTCCATATAGAGGTGAAGGTTTGTCTGTGACTTGTTTCACCTGCACAAGCTATTTTCTGATTTCTTGTCACTGTCAGCTCAGTAGTGCTGTCATTTTCCAGATACATGGTGTGTAATTAATGAGAATGTCATTTCCAGATTGTTTCAAAAACTAGATTGAGCGTTTGAGAAATTATTTCACTCAGTGCCTTAAGAGAGCTCGTTCCTTTCTTTTCTTTCAGAAAGTTATCTTGGTTGTTTGATTTGAGGATATCTCTGGAGGGAAGCAGCTGTGCTTATATTTTTAAGGACTGCCAGCCTTGAACTCTTCATGCAGATGCAAAGCAGGTGTTCACGTGCTACCAACCAGGCAGCCAGTTGCACAGGGCTGTGCCCAAATTGCAGCAGCCCTGGCCATGCCAGTCTCATGTCTGTGTGCTGTGAGGATGGTCTCCTTGTGGTGGTCTCTGGGAGCAGTAGCTGCGTGCTGCAGAGCTGGAGGGGTAGGAGGACACATTATAAGTTGGCCTCATTGTCCGCTCACTGCCCCTGGGGGCTCGCCAGGCTGGGCAGAGGTGTTGGCCAGGATGTAAGTATTTTATTAGCTCCATTATTTCTTTCATGGGGGCAATAAGTCTGCTTTATGTGAGACCTCGAGTGACTCTGTATGGAGCACAGAGATTGGTTTTAGCCACCTTTGCTCCCCAGGACATTGCTGTCCAAAGCACTGGATGACTGTGCCCAGGTGCAGACTCCAGTGATGCATGGCAAGGGCATCTTCCTCGAGTTCTTACTAAGAGCTGTGTTTGGGGCTCATCTAGGGATATTCTCTGCCATTTTTTCTCCTGAGCAAACATCTCCAAGTGTCTCTACTGAGCCTTATATTGCTCTATACTTAAATTTTATTTTGCTTCTTGTAAAATGAAGGGGTGAAGGGAAGGACTCTGTCAGCAAATGCTGCTTTGCCTCCTTTCTGCCTCAGTGGGTTAAAGCACTATTCCCTGGGCTGATTGTGCCCCCAGGCACTCCAGCAATGCTTTGCAATGAGCTCTGCATGGCCCCTCATGTCCTACAGGCTGGCCAAGGCTTTGCCTCCGTGTGCTGGATGGGTTTGTGTTTCTATTTTCTATATGTTCGATTTTTATATTTTTGAAAGTAAATATCAGAAAACAATGGAGTGGTTGCTTCCAGCAATTTTCTGTGGTTATTTTATTCCCAATAATCTGCAGGTGCCTCTTGAATGGGTGAGATTTGCACAAAGCTTAGTGTGCGTGTGTGTCCGTGTCTCCTGTGATATACAGAGCTTTGGTGCTGCAGCTGCCATTAGTGTTAATGGGCTAAACCTCTTCACATCAAGCTGAGAATATACTCTTGCTAATTGTGTACCAGCAGTCCCCTGAGACCTCTGTGAGAATGATGCATCCGAGGAGAGGCGCTTCCAATGGTAGGATGCTTTGGGATAGATAAATAAATAAGGAGCTAAAGTTAGACGCTGGGTCAGTGCCAGCATTATAGCACTGGAGAATCGGCTAACGGCTGTGCCAACCTTTATCCCCTTGGTCCTGGCCTGGTCCACTGCTGCACGGTACCATCTTCTGAGCCATACATCACCACTCAGCCTCACCTTGATGATGTATGGTGCCCATAGATCCTTATAGCGGGAGTGCACTCTGATGTATTGCGCCAATACATCACGGCCAGGGTTCGCCCAGGTGATGTATTATTGCCCTGAGAATGTATTACTCAAACGCTGGTATTGTTCAGGGATAAAGCCAAGCCAAGGAGTGGATTCAATTTAATTACAGCACAAATGATAGTCCAGCGCCAGCAGCACGTTGATGCTGAGATGCTGGCACCCTGTGGAAATATGAGTTGCGACTCTGGTGCCGTTGAGTCACATCACAGTGTGCCACAAGAGGAGGTGCCGTATTTTAAGGGAATGGTCATTTTTCAGAGAAATATAGGAGGACGATTTCAAGAACTCTGTAGAGTGGTATGGCTGTGTGCAGGAACTCCTGAGCAGCAGAGCAGGGACGTGATGGTGCAGGTGGGACATTGGGACCTCTCTGGAAGGCTTTGAATCCAACCTGCTTGCAAATGCTTCTGTTGATTTTGGTATAATGACGTGATGAGAAATTTGGAGAGATGATTCTGTAGTTTCCTTGGATTGTTTTATACAGATGCCATAAAAAAAACCTGGAGAAAACAGGCCATTAAAGGCACCCCTGACTATTAAGGGTGGGAAAACTACCAAATGATGTAGTCAAAGAAAGGGCAACTGTGTAAGGAATCCAGAAATGAGAAATCCCATGAAAAGGCACTTTAAATGTTTGTCTCTGATTACCTCTCCCTTTCTCTTTGCTGCTCTTTTTCACATCTTGCTTTCTTGCTCAATATTGTGGGGGGAAAAAGCAACTATAAAACGAAACTAAAAAACCCAAAAAGTGCATCAGCTTTACATAAAATCAACTTTAACATGAAATTTTTTGCAAAATAACACTTGGCTTCCACTGGAGTCGAGAGGATCTCTATAGTCAAGATTTGGTCCAGTTTCTTCTAGAAGAGTTTCTGAACATTGTCTATCAGGTACTCGATTATTCTTTCAGGGACATGTTTATTGAAAGCCAGGAGTAGCAAGATGGCAGCAGTATTTGGCTCGTGTTCAGCGTTCTGTATCTATAAATCCATGCATTTTCTAACAAAGGTAAATATAGTTTTGCAGATGAGCCACTTTCAGCACAAACATGAAGTGACTTGTGCAAGGTCACGTAGTGAGCTGGTGGCAGGGCTTGGAAGAGAATCCGACTGATCTGACTCACTTCTCCAACTTCCATGTCATTATTTCACTTGTGTTATTATCTTATTCACTCTACTGTTTCAAATCAGACCTTGTCCTACCTTCCTGTTGTTCATGGCTCTGAGGATATAATTTTGTAGTACTCCATAATGGGGAGAAAAATGAAAAAGGCATTTTCTCTTCCTTTTTTTGCCCTCAATTTCACTGCCAATAACTCAGAAATACTGAATTTTCTCTAATTTTTGATGCAGAATGGAGAAGGCTTGGTGTGCTGCACAAGAAAAGTGGATGCTCCCAAGAAAGTGAATTGCAGAGCTCCTTGCAGAGCTTCTCAGATGTCCTTCCCTGCTGCAGCTGTACCTGCAGGTAAAGCAGCACAAATAGTTTTCTGTTAGTTGGCTGCTTAAAATGAGAGAGGCAGTGTGACTTAGGGGAACAGGAATTAATACTGATTCTTGCAGTTCGTGGGCTTGCTGAATTTGGGGAAGAGCATGGAGAGATCCTGAGTGTTCATAGAATCATAGAATGGCATGGGTTGAAAAGGCCTCCCTGAGGGAGGGAAGATTGAGGTTGGATGTCAGGGGGAAGTTCTTTCCTATGAGAGTGGTGAGGTGCTGGAACAGCTGCCCAGAGAGGCTGTGGATGCCCCGTCCATCCCTGGAGGTGTTCAAGGCCAGGTTGGATGGGGCCCTGGGCAGCCTGGGCTGGTATGAAATGGGGAGGTTGGTGGTCCTGCGTGTGGCAGAGGGGTTGGAGCCTCATGATCCTTGAGGTCCCTGCCAACCCTGGCCATTCTGTGAGAAGAACCACAATGCTCATCCAGTTCCAACCCCCTGCTATGTGCAGGTCGCCAACCAGCAGACCAGGCTGCCCAGAGCCACATCCAGCCTGGCCTTGAATGCCTCCAGGGATGGGCATCCACAACCTCCTTGGGTTCCTGCAGTGCTACTCCTCTCCATGCTCCACAGCACACACCAATGTCCTTGTCTATGCATGACCTCAGAAGCTGTTGATCCCTTCTGTGTTGTGTTGCCTCCTCCTGTGATTGGTTCATCACCGCCCTACTCCTTAGCAGAGCCTTTGGTGAACAGTCATCCCAATCACCCTGTGATAACCGTTGTAAACATTTCTATAAATAGAGTTTTCTCCTGTCCAAGTCATCTTGCTTACTCAGCTGTTTTATTTTTAATAGAAAGGCATGTTGATGCTAAGCAGATTTTTTTTTCAAATCTGTATTAAACATAAAAAGATGCTGTGTCTGAATAAAAAGAAAAGGTGCCCCTTAGATATTTTTAAAGCTTCCAAAAATAGTCTCAAGTCTGTGACAAAGATTATTGAGTGGGAATATTGTGGACAGCAATTCTGCAATGGAGAGTCACGGCTCCATGTGCTTTTGGCTGGGGGCTGCAAGGAGGGAAACTCGTAGGACAAAGGCCTCAAAAGGAATGAATTTACTGAAGGCTGCTCTTTAGATGGCAAAGCAGCAGCGCTGCACAAGAAGTTCTGCTGGTGATCTCACATCTCTTTTCCCTTCTGGGTTTGTAAATGCCCTTTGAGGCTGGGATCTTCTTGCTGGAATTGAGTCTTTGCTGGAGACCTGCAGCCCCGCTGCGAGAGCACTGCTGTGCAGCACGGGGGTAGGGAGGCAAAGCAGTGAGTTCTCTGTCTGGAATTTCTGAGTATAAAGACAGAAGGAAAAGGACTGCTGATTTTTTGCCTTGTAAGCACAATTGATGTTTGACTTGAAAAAAAGTAAAACTTGGCTTATTGTTTCTACCGCTGTGCCCTCGGGGTCAGAGCACAGCCATATAAGCAGTTGGTGCAGCCTCCAGTGCAAGAGGGGAGGTAGAAATTCAGAGGGGAGAGAAGCACATGGGAGTGGAGCTGTCCCAACAGGGTTCCCAATGCTTTCTTTCTCTCCCATAGTGGAGGCTTTTGTTTCCTTACTTGTGGCAAATGCCAAATCTACCGCTTGTGTGTTCATGTCTGGTGAGAGGGGAAAGGTCTCCAGAGAACCCGTGAAAATGAAGAAAGATAAACTGATGATTATTAAATTTACAAAATGGTACAGTGGTGACTGATGAACAGCTTATATGGAGAAGAAAAGAGAGCCTCACAGAACAGAGGGAGCTCTTCTATTGTTTGCAGTTAGGAAAAAAAAATAAAGAGGCAGTAAATATTAGGCTGCGTTGATCCCGAAGTGAGCGGTTAGCTGTGCTAAAGTAGCCTGTGTTGTGCTCAGGGTTAGCATTTATTGCAGGTGAACTATCCATGCAAAGGATGAAAACAGGTCGTTTTCATCCTGTACAGAGAGACACGAGGGGTGGTTCTGCTGGGCTTCGCTGGTGCTCGTAGCAGAAAAGGAACAAAATGGGACTGAGCAGTGGATAAAGATTTGAGGCTCAGTTCTTGTTTCTCCTGTAAATACCCTGCAACCCCTCAATAAAACTGATTTATGGCTTTCAGACATGGTTCCTCACCTGTAAAATTGGGAAAAATACTTCCTTTGTGCCCCATTTATTTACATGGGCATCTCTTCCTATCTAACACCACGCTTGGTGCAGTGGGGCCTCGTTCCTTTGTCAGCCCTCTGTACGGAATTTATATTGCAGCAATCCTTGTAACTATCAGCAAAACGAAATTACTGCAGACAGGCCTGACCTGTCTGAGGTGCCGGTGCTTCAGCTCTGCTCTGATTGTGCTGCTGGCTGTGGTTTGGTGGCTGTCCCCTGCCCGTGGCTGTCAGTGTGAATGACAGGCTAACAAATGCACGGTGACTTTGTTCCTTGCTGCACTGCCAGTGACACGCTCTGGGTCTGCAGTGCACAGGGATGCATGGCATTGTCTCACCCAGTAACGCGCTGTCTAGCAACTGGCAAAAGCAGTGCTTTTCACCTATTGCAATGGACACAAATAGGTGTGCTCTAGAAAATGAAGCCCATAGGCATTTGGGGGTCTGGTTTAATTTGTTTTATTTTTTCATCCAAGAGTACGAGAATGCAAAACTTCCAAGCTGGAAGGCTTTGCGCTCTGCTTGCACCAGGAGATATTAGTGAGGGATCAGCTGGGTTCACCAGACACCACAAGGTACCTTTGTTTATGGATGAGGCCGTGCAGTTGGGGATCAGAGGTTGTGCATAGCTGCTGTAGAGCACGCTGGGCTGCAGAAAGTCAGGCACCAGAGATTAATTTCTTGGTTTCTTAGAGCCAAGGTTTAATAGCAGACCTGGGGAGGACAGTGATCGAGCTCACAACTAGCAGAACCTACAGTTCAGGTCAAGTGAAAGGAAGGAGCTAAGGGACTCAGCATGCTGCTTGCAGGAGGAATTCTAATGGTTTCATGGTATGGGGTCTGCACAAGGCATACAGGAGCTGGTGCCCGGGCTGCCCCGTGGAGCCTGCACAGCCCCGACCCCCTGCTCACTGCCCTGCTCACAGCTGGGCATGGGAAGAATAAATCTGGAAGGGAACAAGAGAAAACGGAAAACATTGGTGTTTTCTCAGTAGGGAGAATGGTGTGTTTGAGCCGCAGTGGAGAGGGGTAGCTTTTGGTCTTAACTTCTTGAGTTGCATACTTCCACAAACCATGTAGATTAGGCAGGATGAAGGCTGGGTAACTTATTCTGGCTGAATCGAGGACCTACTGTGAAGCTGAGATTTAGCTCAACTCTGACATTTCATGCTACTGTTCATTACACTTCAGTTTCGAAGTTTTCAGGCTGCATTTTTTTTTTTTTTTGAAGTTGTGCCCTTTATGTAACTTATTTAATTGTACCTAAATCTACTGTGATTTTTTTTTTCCCTCTCTACCTTCACAAATGCCATCGTATATACCTGTAGATCTTAATTTATAATATGTATTACAACAACTGGGACAAGAGAATCTGCCTTGAGATTTCTGAATTATCGGATTAATATATTTAATTAATTAATATTTAATATTATTATTATTAATAATAATATTATATATATTATAATATTTATTATATTATATATATTTTTATATATAATATTTAATTAATATTTATATATATAATATAATTATATTCTGAATTATCAGAATTTCTGAATTCTGATTATTCTGAATGAGGCTGTATGTTGCTATAAACAAGTCATGTCTTAAGGTAAAGTATTTGTCAAATAATTTTAGACTGATCCTTCTGGTGCAGAGAGCTACCTTATGTGTAGGATTGCTTAATGCCAGCGGTACTGCCAGCACTAAGGACCCCAGACTGAAATCTCCTTGTAGAAAACTTGCTTTTCACTGGTGATTTGTTCTGGAGGTTCCAGAGAACAGGCACACAGGGGGTGCAGTGGGCAGGACGTGACTGTGATGCACACAGCTCTGCCAGGATGTGGCTCAGCCATCCAGAAGGCAGCAGTTTGACCTCAGTTCAGTAATTCCTTATTCTGTGACTTGCAGTGTGCAGTGGATTTCCTATTAAAAGACCTTCCCAAATGGTTCTGCCTTAAAGTCTCTACCTCGAGTCTCCTGATGTGCTTTTTTCTCTGGAAGGCAACAGAAGCTGCGCCAAATGCAAACTGAGAGGCATGGATATGCTGGTTAGGCACAGATGGGATTCCTCCGTCAAAGTACTCCTGTGTTGTCTCCATTCATTACACTCACTAGAAAAGCTACTGACGTGACAGCATTCTCCTGTTAGCTTTTCTGCTCTTTTAGAAATGCTTGTTTGATTGCAATGACCTGATAATACAGTGACCAAGATCTTGATTAGAGACTTGGACCTTCAGAGCCACTGGAGAGGAGTCTTCAATGTCTCATGCAGTTGTTATGGTCAATTCATGGTGACTTGTGTCTGCAAGTTAAGACATTATTAGGAATTTTTTTTTTTTATTGTATGCATTCTTACTGTGGTACTATGAAGTGTGAGAAAAACAAATCTTTGTGTTTGGCTGCTGGTTTGATGTCCAGTTCAAATTAGCAGGGTGCAAGGAGTTTTGATGTTCGTTTGGAAGCCACTTATGGAAATGTTAGATTTCCTTCTATGGAAGGAAATTCTGGAGAAAACTTCTAATCTTGTGATTCAAAGCATGAATCAGTCTCTAGATTGGATTTGTGCCTGCAGCAGTGGAAGGGGCAGACTGTCACAGGGTTGCTGCTTTTTTCTTCTCTATACAGGAGCACCCTTTATAGCTGCTATCAAAGGCAGAACAGCAGCTTCAGTAGAAACTGGTCTGCTCAATGCAAGCTCTGAGTTTGATCGTTTTCAGCAGCATGTCATCTTAAATGCATACTTTTTTTTCCTCTTTTTTTAGAAGTTTTGGCTTCCAGCT